TCAAAGTCGCGACGTCAAAGAGGCATCAGGGTACACCCAGCCAGCCGATCGTGGTATCCGAGCAACGAACACACGCACACGTGTTGCTGCTCCGAGGACACAAAAACGGCGTGGGTGGACGAAGCCCCAGCTCTTACGTCTAACTCATCCGAGCCGGGACGCACGACGCTCGTGCTCGGGAGGAGATTTCTTCACGAGAGAGAGAGAGAGAGAGAGAGAGAGAGAGAGGTGAGACAGATCGCCAGAGAACGCGTGAGTCTCGCGTGACCCAAAATCCGTGAATTTTCCGCGGCGAGTCTTCGCGACAAACCTTGGCAATGATCGGCGAGAGCGACGAAACGGCGGCGACGGGGGAGGGGGCACAATGAGAATCGAAGGAAGCCCTCGAGAGTGACAGTAACAAAGAGGTGACGCAGACGAGACGAGACGCGAAAAGACAGACCGACGACAGAGTGACAGCAATGGTGTATGAGAGGGGAGGGGGGAGAGTGGAAGAAACGAGAGGGTTTAGGGAGCGATCGAGCTCGTCTCGCGAAGAAGGGGGGAGCGGGGCCGGACACTCGCGAGAGAAACGAGTCGCGAAGCGAGGCGACCGCCGCCGCGCTTAACGAATTTATGTTACTCGTACTTTTAATGTTTTTTATGGCGCGACACGAGCTGCGCCGAGAGATAGCAGACAGCATAACAGGATCTTATGTCAACGACGGTGGTCTCCGCGCCGCGCCGCGAGCTTGTAATATGTAGATACTGCCCACCACCGGGGGAAACCCCATAAGGCCCGCGCGGCGCGGAGTGAGCGAGAGAGAACGACGGAGAGAAAGACCACTTACGGGAAAAAGGGGGAACCATCTTTGCCCCTGGTCCCCTCCATCAACTGTCCTCTTTCTTCTCTCGTTCTCTCTCTCTCTCTCTCTCTCTCTCTCTCTCTCTCTCTCTCTCTCTCTCTCTCTCTCTCTCCCTCTCTCTCTCTCTCTCTCTCTTTCTCTCTCTCTGATGCGCGCGCGCTGCCGCATATGTGGACGCTATATAGACGTCTCGAGAGTGACTCGTGGCGTCCCGACTTCCTTTTCTTTTTTGTCGTCGACCTCATCATCATCATCGTCATTGTCTACTTTGTCCTTTCGGTTTCTTTCTCGAAACGGTCGGTGAAAATGCCGGTGTGCCATACAGGGTGTGTTACGTAATAATTCGTGAAGCTAGCTCGGCTCGCTACCTTGGAGGTCCCCACCAGGAGGAATCTTCTCTTTCTAAACGAATACGGAGATTGTTGCAACGTTTATTGTTAATGTTTGGTGGAAGAAAGAAGCTTCGGAGTTAATGGGGAAAAAATTTGGTTCTTTTGCCCGCTCGCTCAGTTGAACTTTCATTTACGAGGGATCCTTCTTTTTTTTCACAATCGCACCCAACCGAGCAGGCAACGTCGACGTCTCGGAATTCGTCTGGGATTCTGTCTTCAAAGCGGCGTGCCGCAGGACACCCCGTATGCAGACGTTTCACACTCCTGAAACGAGACTCCTTGCGCAGGCGAGAATGGAGATTCTCGACCGCACGTCGCGTCCGATGTGTGGCACGTCGCATTCTCGGCAGTACGTTGCGATTTTCGCGTGTTACGCGAAAAGTAAAACGGTACAATTAGCGGGGGATGTCCTTGCGACTGGATGTCGCGTAACGCCCGAAAGGAGCAGCACCCCGGGAGCTCGCTCGGACCCACACTCTCTCTCGACCTGTTCGATCGTCTCGTGTGTTCCGGGGAATACGACGGACGAGCGGGATGGCGATCGTGTGTCCTTCTCCTTCGGAGCTGAAACGCGAAACGTGAAAAGTTGCACGCTTCCATAATTTGTGAAAAGTTATATGACCGCTGAAGTCGTCGGATCGCGCGAATCTGTTCGTGTTTCCGTTCCTGAGTCGCGGCGGGATCTTTATACTTAACAAGGAAACACAGGGAACTCGGAAGTTCAAAAAATTATGAAATTTTGTATGGAAGTAAAGTAGTTCATCTCCGTGATGCAAAACTATTTTTTGTTCATGCGGAATTCCAGTCTGAGGGGGTAAAACTACCCTTCGAAAAAAAAAAGAATTTTCATTTTTAGCATATATCTTTTAAAATGTGCGAGGCATGTGCAAAAATGATTTATATGAAAGTATGTATTGTAGTGTATTTCACACACTCTTTGCAACTGTGTATTCAGATTTTGCAAAATTGGAGGAGGGCGGAAGGGGTTTCAAAAATTTTTCAATTTTGCAAAATCTGAATACACAGTTGCAAAGAGTATGAAATACACTGCAACTTTCGTATAAACAATAAAAGGTGTATGCTAAAAATGAAAATGATTTTATTTTTTAAGGGTGGTTTCACCGCCTCTCAGACTGGTGGAATTCCGCACGAACAAAAACTAGTTTTACATTACGGATTAACTACTTTCTTTCCACACAAAGTTTCATGATCTTTTGAATTTCCGAGTCTCCCCTATGTTTTACCTTGTTACCTTGTTAGCGCGTCGATGATAAATCTCGTTCTTTAAGGTAAAAAAGCGAACTCATAAAACGCGGAGATTCCCCAACCTGAAGGCATTCGAAAGTTTCCTCTTCTCGCAAGTTCACTAAAGCGAAAGATTTACAGCGGCTCGTGTCATCGTAAATCCCGTCTGTGCTTACGAGGGACGAAAATTCCCCACTCGAGAGAGTTTTCATTTTTTAGCAAAAAGTTCATCAGAGGAGAAAACGTGCGGCCTCGGTCGAGCTTCGTCCTTCGATTCGTACTCGAAAAAAGCGAACATATTCCCGCTGGGGAATTTGCAGCTTTCCCACGCGGCGTTCACGCCGGATCCGGAGGACTCGAAGAAGACTCACGTCCGGGCCGTCCGCGCAGGAGTCAGCGCGCGTTTGCGGGGCGGATCGCGGAAGCGCGTGCAGCGCGCCGAGGAGCCTCACGAACACGCGCAGTGCGGCGGCACCATGTGGTCGACGCGGATTGTCCGCGCGTCTAGAATTACCCGGAGCCCCGGGCCGGTGCGGCCGCAGGAGTTAATTGGCCGGAAAACCTGGCTATCCGATACTAGTCTCTCGCGGCTACCGCCCCGAGATACGTGGCCGCGCTCGCGCGATATCCATATTTTCGTCCGTCAGCTGCCGCGCGAGGGGCGCACGTCGCGCGCGCACTTTTCTTCCAGGGTAACTGTATCTCGGCTGCGCGGCCCCCGCCGGCCCTTCGCGAAAGCTCGCGGATCCGACACTCCGTTTCGGCCACGTCGATCCCGGAGTCGCGCACTGGAAAATTACACCGTTATGCTCTCGCCGCGCCCGCGCGACAACGTTACGCGATCGTGAAGCCACCAGCGGATACCAGCGATACCTATGTATCGCTTACACACACACACACACACACACACACAGATACGCAGCGCTGGTTCTCGCTGGACTACTTATTTACTACAAATTGCATCTCGTTTGTTCTCTCATGGCGAGCGGCCATGAGCGCGAGAAAGAAGCAGCGAGGACTCTTCCCGTCCCTCGCACCGTCTCCCTCTCTTTCTCTCCTTTCTTCCTTTCAAGACTAGAGACGTATCTCTTCTTCCTTCCCTTCGTAAGATAGACATTGTTGCGGGTGGTCCACGGTACATATTGTCAGAGCGGCCACCAGGTAGTACGCAACGTTGCCGCTTGCAATGTTGCAAACGCTGCTTTCTCCCCCTCCTCTCGGTGAGGCCCAACTTCTCCTTGTACGATCACCACTCTCTTCGTACCTTTCTCTTTCTCATTCTCCCAGAGAGTCTCTCTCTCTCTCTCTCCCTCTCTCGGTTTCGTTTAAGCAGCCGTAAGACTTCTCTAAAAGCCTGAACCGCCGTCCGTCCCTCTCGTTCCCCTTTTGTCCCACTCGTCTCTCTGTCTCACTGTCTCTCACTCTCGCTTTTTTTTTCCCTTTCTACCATTTCCGCCACTTGTCATCCTACAAACCCACGCGACGAATTTAAAGGCCCCGGTGGGCTCGCTCCCCCTTCGTGTCCCCCCTTTCTCCGCACATTTACTACTCTCTCGCAGGAGACGGGAGCGTTCACCGATTTTTCCCGGAAACCGGCTCTCTCTCTCTCTCTCTCTCTCTCTCTCTCTCTCTCTCTCTCTCTCTCTCTTTCTCCGCACCCGTTCTTATTCTACGTAACACCAGCGGAATTATTCCGGTCTACAGCACACGCCAAAATCAGCGACGCGACCAAGTTCCGTTTTCGTCGCAAAACAGAAGAAGCAAGAAGACCCCGGCGAGGACATTAAGGCGTCTTAATGTTCCCTCAGAGACGCCCTCGCGAGACGATAAGACGTCTTTATGCCGGTATTCACAGTCGGATCTTACGCTCAAGATCTTTTAAAATGATTCCTGCAGAGTGTCCGAAGAAGAGTTATCATTTTTCTTCGAAGTCTTCGCATTCGAAGCTTCGATGCAAGATATTCGACTATCGAAGTTTCAGCCTTCGAACTTGGAAATTTCGCGAATCCGAAGGTGTCCGGGGATCGAACCACGAGCCTGTGCTTTTGTTATTCACGGAAACAAAGAGTGCAGGCTCGGAAACGACCGTCCCGTATCCTTCGAAGCTTCGGTATAGAAAAACTTCAAAGTTTCGAAGTTGACTCGATCCAAAGCTTCGGAACTTCGAAGCTGCCGACGAGTAACGGCCTTAGATCCGAAGTTGAACTCTACGTGACGTCGAATGTAACACCCGGTTGCGATTACCGCCCTTAGATACGCGTGGCGGGGCTGAGTAGGTCGGCGGTAATTAGAAAAGCGTAACCACGAAAATAGCTCCCGCGCAGCATCCAATTTGTCCGAGCGACACGCGCGTGTGCGTGCGTGCGTGTGTGTGTGTGTGTGCGTGCGTGCATCTGTGGAAGCGCGATCGATGGGCGCATTGTAGGCGCACAATGGCGGCTGGTAGGGGGGGGGGGACTTCCACGCGGTTCTTTGTCGAGGACGACATTCACGAGCTCTCTCTCGCTCTTCTTTTCAGGGGAAGGCGGAGGGTCAGAGGTCAGCGGTGTGGATCAGGGCGCGACTGCAGGATCAACTGAGTCAGCTGGGTTACTTCCTGCAGAGGCATGCTGGGAAAGTGCTGTTCGTCGCGATCCTCGCGCTCGCGACGTTCTGCGTCGCCCTCAAATCCGCTCAGGTTCATAGCAAGGTCGAGCAACTGTGGGTGCAGGGTGAGTGACCTTCGTTTCCGTCCTTCCTTCCGTCCTTACGCTCTCTCCCCTTTTCTTCCCTTCGCACGCACTTACTCAGGGTTGCAACAAGTTTCCGTCCCCGAGTGCACGCGTGCGCGCACGTCGATCGCGCACGCGTCAGCGAGATCGTCGTCGTCGTCGTCGTCGTCGTCGTCGTCGTCGTCGTCGTCGTGGCAGCGTGGACAAATAAATCGTCCGCGGGAATGGAGAAAGAAGGATAGCCGCGGCAGAGAACGCAGCTGGGAGAGAGGTAAACGAGTCTCTCTCTCTCTCTCTCCTCTCTTTCTCTCTTTCTCTCTCTCTCTCTCTCTCTCTCTCTCGGCGGAATCTCTCCCACCACGCGATACATTAGTTACACTCTGGGTGGTCCTTCTATATTTACTCACGAGCCGAACGCGTTAATTCGAACGACCATTGCTAGCTTGCGCTTAGCCGCGCGAATGAAAGCGGACGCGAGGAAAAAGCGAAGCTCCTCTGGGGTATCGGCTCCAGTTCTCGGAACATTTCACTCTCATTCCGCTCGCGTAATTCGCGTTTGTGCAGTTATCCGTGCGACGCGCGTTGGCTCTCTCCCTCCCTCTCCCTCTCTCTCTCTCTCTCTCTCTCTCTCCCCCCCTCTCCCTCCCTCTCCTTCTCGTCCTCTCTCACGCTTTATTTATAAGCGTCGAGCAAAATGCGTACGCGATACGTACGTGTCCCGGGGAGGATGGAAACTAGCGCTGTATAAGCCGGGTATTTCTGTACCTGGGTACTGAAACTCGCGAGTGCACTATTCGGGTACCTGGTTAGGGGAAAAGTTCGTTCTAATGGGATCATGTGTGTTTCTCCGCGCGAATATATCGCCATCGTAAATTTGCGCGCAAAAGTGGAATACTCAAACTCCTCGCGAGTTCCACCCGAGGTGTCGGGATAATGAAACTCCCGCGGGAAAGCCCTCTTCAGCTGTCCTCAGGAGCAAAAGTGTCCTTCCTCAGTCAGGGACTGATCTTCCTTTACGTGCAAACGTTTTGCATCAAAGAAAGAAAATATTCTATTTGTGAAGTGATTTTTCGCATAGTCCCATATTCTCTAAGCGAAGCCTTTTGCGGAAAGAGGATTCCTCTTTCGACGAAGTGATTAAAGTGAACCATTTATCTAAAATTTATTCAATATTATTTTAACTGTTTTCCTCTTATACCAATTAATTTTTCTCTTATATAAAGATAAATATGTTGATTTGTTCAGTCTTGCTCTACTTTCAGACATGAACGAAAAAATAACCATCCGTTCATGGGCCAGAATATTTAGAACGCTTTTTAAAAAAAGTATGTGTGTTGCCGTAACACATACGGAAGGTAATTTATCCATATTTGGTCAAATGCAGTTTGTAATCTATCGCAAGAAGTTGAATAATATAATTTTTCTTTTAAAACTGTGTTTTATACAAAAAACATGGTTATGATGGACATCTTTGTTGCTACAAAATAACAAAACTGATTGGAAACTTATTGACGTTATGATGATCTTGTTTCATTCGTGCCTATTCATTGTAAAACTGGAGCCAAAAGTACATCTATATATATATATATATATATATATATAAATACATTACTTTTCGTTATACATTATAATAATTTTTTCAAATTAACTAGTATAACCAATAGGAATAAAAGTACAGTAAGAACGAATAATAATCCTCTTAAAAAAAGATTAAATAATCTCAGGTATAAGAGGAAATTTATATTAAAATCAATAAGATTTGCATTATACACATAACATACAATCCCTTTAACTACAAGAGTAACGTATTTATAATATTTTCCTCTTAATCTTGGAGGAATCCTCTTGAGGCCGTATATGTGAATAAAATCCTCCAAACTTTCGACGATTCCGCTTGTTCTGAAGTTACGTGTTTTTTTTTTTTTTTTTTTTTTTTTTTTTTTTGAAAGTGCCCTCGTTAATTTGTGAACAAGCGTCGAGGTTAACGAGAAGAAGCGAAAGAAATTCTCCCCCTCTCCGTCCAAGACGTCTGCCTCCTCTTGCCTTGCATTTTGATACTTTGAGACACAGAGCGGAGGGACGACCGGATACTCCGGGATCGTCCCCAAACATCCGGCTGAGGTAGCCGACAAACTCCCGGCCTCGGCTGGTGGCTGAGACGGTCGTCCGGCCGGCTACCCGGAAACGACACCGTCTAGTGTAAACGCGCTCGCGTATATTTGGGATAAATTTCTCAGCGAGGAGCACGCCGCTAACCGTCGGCGAGAGCGCGCGCGGCGCGGGTGACGGGAGACGATTCGACGGGGCGAACAAACATTCCGTTCGTCGGGGAGAGAACTAGAGAGAGAGAAAGAGAGAGAACTAGAGAGAGAGAGAGAGAGAGAGAGAGAGAGAGAGAGAGAGAGAGAGAGAGAGAGAAGCGGCCGTGGATGTCGCGGGTAACTGTATAGGGATTCTTTCGACGCGCTCGACTTGGCACGAAGAAACGCCGTCGTGTCCTGCTTTTCGATCGGCCGGGAGATACCGCGGACCTCCTAGATCGTCTAGGTCGACCGGGATTGATCTGTCCAACGGCGAACACAAACAGAGGACTCGCTCGCGAGCTCGCGAGTGTTCGCGCGAGACCGCCGCGCAGATCCTCCTCCGGGCGAGGGACGAAATCGCCGCCGCGACCTTGTTCTCTCTCTCTCTCTCTCTCTCTCTCTCGTCTCCCAACAACTCGGTCGGAAGCTCAGCTCGCGCGCGTAACATCCGGTAACCTCCTTTCCGCCGCGTTCGCTCGCGACCGATGACCGTTCGTTCGTTCGTTCGTTTGTTCGTTTGTTTGTTCGTTCGCTCGCTCTCGACGATCGGTTCTCGCGGACACGAAAGTCGCGCGCTAGCCGACCGCTGTCGGCAGTCACGGCGATAAACCCGCTGCTGTTAAAGGATTTATAAGGATCGTTAAAGGAGGCGCGGAACGTTGAATTTGCGATTTGACCTGAGGCTCGCCGCATCGTTTCGTATTCTGCGCACGGTCGTTCCGACCGCGCGCCTCAACATTTATGGCCCTTAGCCTAATTTACATCTTATCGATATTATATAATTCAACATGTTTATTACGCGCTCCTTTATTACGGCGGGATATGCGATTGCGTGATGTTCGCGGGTAATTCCCAGCTACTCGAACATCCAATATGTCGCTTGACATCTTCATATTTATATATAATCTAAATATTGAATATATTAGAGATTAAATATTTAAAAAAAAATTGATTAAATATAATAATAAAATAACTCGATAAAACTTGAATTCTTCATATGTACACACATACAGAGTGTCCGGGATTCTTTGGAAACGAAAAATTGTGAAGTGATTATTCAGATCAAACTGAGACGAAAAGTCACGTGCCATTTTGCAAAAATCGCAACAGTTATTAAGTTACTAACGATTGAAAATGACCGCATCTAGAGGCTCTTTTAATTGGTAACTTGAAAATTTGTTTACTTATTTGCAAAATGGTAAAAGGACTTTTCTTTTCAGTTTGATCTAATTAATCTCCAATCACAATTTTTCGTTTCCGAAAGATCCCGGACACCCTGTATATAAATACCCACGAACATAAATTATAAAAATATATAAATATTAAGAAAGAAAAATGAGGATAAACACGAGGCATACTGATTCATTAAAAAAAAAAATTGATCAACAAGTGATTCGTTAAGAAAAAGAATCGAATAAACTCCTGAGTAACCTCGACGTGTTACATCCGCCCAATAAGAACTAAATTCCTTTCAACTGCAATGTGCCCGCTCGAGGTTGAACACCGCTCCGAAAACGCGCACTTTGAAATCTCGCTTTGCAGAGGTTCACTCGTTAAAATCAGACATCCTGTATAGACGGCCGCTCGCTCGTTGCATTCCGGATGTCCGGAGTGACATCGCCGGCAGGAGTGTTTGACAAAGCATATATAGCCTTTCTGTTTACAGCACGGCGCGAAGGAGTAACAAAAGTGAGATTGAGTTCGACCGAGAAGAATGAATCGCACGCGCGCTCGCTCGTCCTCGATAAGCCGATGATCCCGGCCGGCGGTTAATCGGCCTTCCCAAAAAATCTGCGCCCGCATGTCTCTCGGCTGAACGCAACGGGTGGAACTGGCGTTGTATGCTGTGCATATATCGCGGTGCAGTCACCTCACGGATATCCGGTACCGCGATGAGAGGGTACACACACGCGTCCGTCGCGCCTCTCTCGGCGTCTCGCCTAGCGCCGGCTTGTTGTTTTCGCCGGATAGCGTCATATCCTTTTACCTTCCCCCATCTCCTTCGACCCTGCGCGCCTTGCGACACGTCGCATCATTCTTGCCGCACTTTAGCACGTTGCCGCCGCTTTGGCCGATACCTCAGCGGGCGAATATTCGCGAGCACCTCCTGTGAAATATCGACGTTTGGTCTCGCGTACACACGGAGGGGAAACCGTCGTCAACGGCGTCAATCATGTTTCCTTAACATTTTCGTGATTCCAAGAGATTCCAAGAGAAAATAGCGGCGATATATTAGGAGTGTAATTTAGTCTTGGAGGTTTTGCAAGAGAGGTGACACTAATGTCACTTTTGTCGAAGACACTCCAATCATACAGCTATTGTGCTTCTTAATGCTTTAATATTAATCCATGATATTTAGTCATTTACTAACAATAGATGCAGTAACAATCGTGTTAATAAAAATCTAAAAATGGAGCTTCCTAAAGAGCATTTTCGGCATGCGTTGCTTTTTTGCGTTTTTTAATCGGAAGAAAACGGCGGCTGAAGGTCATAGAATCCTGGTGTGAAACTTGTAATGTTGCTCCATCCAATTAAGTGACATGTGAATATTAGTTTGGACGATTCAAAAGTGGTGATATCAAAGTTAACGACAAAGATCGCTTGGGACAAGCTGGGGAAAAAGTTGGAAATGCAGATTTGCAAGCATTATTGGACGAAAATCCAGCACAATTGGCTTAACTTGCCGGAGCATCAAAT